CTTTTCTTTCCCCTCTTATGGAAAGAGGAACTGGGACTGTGATGAGTAGAATGGAGCAAGAAAGAAGAGAAGATGAAAAAGAGAAAAAACTTAAATGCATATATGTATACACACTCATCCATGAACCATTCAGAAATGTGTGCTAAGATCCTTTGTGCAACCACTCTTTTCATAGCCCTCTCAGGGCAGGCTTATTCTATCCACTGCTGACATATGTTCCATATTTCCTCCCTATAATGTTCAATTGCTATCTCAACTGTTCTCTCCGTAGTTCATTATTTTAACTTTTGGACAGCAAACATGTTTAGGAAGGAGGGATGTTTGGCCCAATCGTTTGGCCCATCTTACTAAGTACTTTTATCTCTCCCAATAAAAGTCCCACAGCAATTCACACACACGTACACACACATACACACACACACAGTAGAAAAAGAAGGAAAACTTCCAATTCATTTTATGACTCCAGCATTACCCAATACCAAAACCAGATAAAGACACCACTAAAAAGGAGTACAGGCCAATATTACTGATTATCACAGATGCAGAAATCCTCAACAAAGCACTAGCAAACTGAATCCAACAATACACTAAAAAAAAAAAATTACCATGATAAAGTGGGATCTGTTTCTGGGTTGCAAGGGTGGTTTAATATTCATAAATCAATCACTATGGTACATCACATAAGTTGGAGAAAAGATAAGAACCTTATGATCATTTCAATACATGCAAAAATAAAAAGCATTTGACAAAGTACAACATCCATTCATGATAAAAACCTCAAGAAAATAAGTTTAGAGGGAACTTACCTCAACATAATAAAGGCCATATGTGAAAAATGCGTAGCTAACATCATGTTAGTGGGGTAAAACTGGGAGCTTTTCTCCTAAGGTCAGGAACAAAGATGTCCACTCTCACCACTTTTATGCAACATAGTACTGGAAGTCCTAGCCACAGCAGTCAAACAATGAAAAGAAATAAAAGACAAATGCCATGTGATTTCACTCATTTGTGGAATTTAAGAAACAAAACAAGCAAATAGAAAAAAGTAACAAATTGAGAAACAGACTTAATTATAGAGAAAAATTTATGGTTACCCAAGAGGAGTAGAGTATGGGGGATGGATTAAATAGGTAATGGTGATTAAGGAGTATACTTATTATGATGAGCACTGGTTGGTGTATGGAAGTATTGGATTACTATATTGCACATTTGAAACTAATATTACACTGTATGTTAACTAACTAGAGTTAAAAATAAAAACTCAGAAAATTTTAAAAATTAGGAAAAGCATGACAAATTGACAGTTCACCAGAGGGGTTCAACAACAGACTTGAATTGTCAGAAAAATATATCAGCTATATTGAAGGTAGGTCAGTAAAGATCAGTAAAGCTTATCTTTCTGTGGGACAGAAAGAAGAAAAAAAGGGTAGGTGGTGGACAGAGCTTCTGATAACTGTGGAACAATAGCAAGCATTCCAATATATACATAATGGGAGACTAGAAGGTGAGGAGAATGATAAAAGGACAAAAAATAATAATTTGAAGAAATAATGGCTGAAAACTTCTCAAATTTGAGAAAAAAAAACAATCTTTACATTCAAGAAGCTCAATAAGTTCTAAGTATGATTGACTCAAAAATGTCTACACTTAGACACATTATAATCAAACTAGTGAATACCAAAGAAAGAGAAAATCTTAAAAGCAGAAGAGAGATGATTTATTAGGGGATTATCAATAATATTAATAGCTGACTTTTTGTCAGAAACCACAGGGATGGCCAGAAGACAGTGGAATGACAAAAAGTGCTGAAAGAAAGAATTGTCAGGGCGCCTTGGTGGCTTAGTCAGGTTCATGATCCTGGAGTCCCAGGATCAAGTCCCTCATTGGGCTCCTTGCTCAGCAGGGGGTCTCCTTCTCCCACTGACTTCCCCTTCTCATAGTCTCTCTCATTCGCTCTCTCTCAAATAAATAAATCAAATCTTTCTTAAAAAAAAAAAGAAATATATAGATTTCAACAAAAAAGAAAAAAAAGGAATTGTCAGCCAAGAATATTATACCCAGCACATTTCTCCCTCAAAATGAAGAAATATGGATATTCCCAGATAAACAAAGACCAGATGAATTCATCACCATTAGACCTTCCTTATAAGAAATATTAAAGGGATTTCTTCATACTGAAATAAAAGGACACTAGACAGTAACTTCAACCTATACAAAGAAATAAGAGCTCTGGCAAGGATAGTTACATAAGTAAATATGAAAAAAGTATAAACATATATATTAACTCCTTTTTTCTAACTTATTTAAAAGACAATTACAGGGGCGCCTGGGTGGCTCAGTGGGTTGGGTGGCTCAGTGGGTTGGGCCGCTGCCTTCGGCTCAGGTCATGGTCTCAGGGTCCTGGGATCGAGTCCCGCATCGGGCTCTCTGCTCGGCAGGGAGCCTGCTTCTTTCTCTCTCTCTCTCTCTCTCTGCCTGCCTCTCTGTCTGCTTGTGATCTCTCTCTGTCAAATCAATAAATAAAATCTTAAAAAAAAAATAAAATAAAAGACAATTACATAAAATAGTTATAAAACTGTGTTAATGGGCTTATAATGTATAAAAGTATAACTTATGATAATAGCACAAAGGGGGGAAGAGGGAAGGGAAATATGTGGAGCAAAATTTTTGTACACTATCAGAAGTACATTGGTGTCTATCTGAGCTAGTTAAATTAGGATTTATTTTGTAGTCCCCAGAGCAACCACTGGGAAAATAAACTTTAAAAAAACAGTAAAACAACAACAAAGGCCCTTAACTGGTACAGTACAAAATAGGTTTGACATTAAATAGCAATAGTAGGGAAATAACAAAAAAAGAGGTATAAGATATGTAGCAATATTTTGGCTAATTGAACATAATTAAAAGAAAAAAAGTGCAAAGGAAAGAAAGAAAATAGCAAAATGGCAGATATAAATCCTAGCATACAGTAATTACGTTTAATGTAAATGGAGCAAACACTCCAACAAAAAGGCAGAACTTTTCAAACTGGAATTTTTAAAATCCAGCTTAGGTAAAGTGGACACAATCCTATAGGGGAAAACACAAATTATCACAACTCATAATAGCACTAAAAAGAGTAAGACTGGAGGATCCTGGGTGGCTCAGTTGGTGAAGCATCTGCCTTCAGCTTAGGCCATGATCTCAGGGTTCTGTGATCAGGCCCCTTGTCAGGCCTGCTTTTCCTTCTCCCTCTGCCTCTTCTGCTCCCTCTGCCCCTCCATCCCCACTCATTCTCTCTTTCTCTCTCAATCTCAAATAAATTAATAAAATCTTTTTTTTAAAAGAGTAAGACTGAATATTATTAGGATAGCAATATTCTTTACAGTAAAGTTTAACAGACTTTTGTCTTAAAAATAGTCAGAATTCAGAATGCCTGAGTGGTTCAGTTGGTTAAGCAGCTGCCTTCGGCTCAGTTCATGATCCCAGAGTCCTGGGATCGAGTCCCACATCGGGCTCCTTGCTCAGCAGGGAGCCTGATTCTCCCTCTGCCTCAGCCTGCCACTCTGTCTGCCTGTGCTCGCTCTCCCCCAGCTCTCTCTCTGACAAATAAATAAATAAAATCTTTAAAAAAAAATAGAATTCAACTTTGTGATTTATACATAAAATATATAAAAAACGCTACAATTTGTGGTTAAGGCAATGAAAACACAGAAAAAATTAGAATTACTCTCTCCAAAGTGATAAACTATAGATTCAGTGCAATTTTTTCTTTTTATTTTTATTAACATATAATGTATTAGTTGCCCCAGGGGCAGAGGTCTGTGAGCCATCAGGCTTACACATTTCATAGCACTCACCATAGCACATACCCTCCCCAATGTCCATAACCCAGCCAGCCTCTCCTTAACCCCCCCCACCCCTCAGCAACTTTCAGTTTGTTTTGTGAGATTAAGAGTCTCTTATGGTTTGACTCCCTTTAATCAAAATACCAAAAGACTTTTTGCAGAAATGGCAAGCCAATTCTAAAATGTGTATGAAAATGTAAATGACCTAGAGTAACCAAAATAACTCCGAGAAAAGAATAAGCCATGTTTGTTTTATTTTTTCCCTGTACAAACAAATTTATTAAACCAATTGGTAGTACTATAACTATAGAAGTCAAGATGCATTTTTTTTAAAGATTTTATTTATTTATTTGTTAGAGAGAGAGAGAGCATGAGCACAGGCAGGCAGAGAGGCAGGCAGAGGCAGAGGGAGAAGCAGGCTCCCTGCTGAGCAAGGAGCCCGATATGGGACTCGATCCCAGGATGCTGGGATCATGACCTGAGCCGAAGGCAGCCGCTTAACCAACTGAGCCACCCAGGCGTCCCTCAAGATGCATTTTAATTCAAAATTAGATTCACTTTAATAGTAAACAGTGTCTCCAGCAAAATACATATATCTTAGCTACATTTTGAACATAAGTCATCGTAAATCTCTCCCTGAAATAGTGTTTCCAGGTTTTTAGAATTAGTAGACACTATTTAGAATAGGTTTAGATTAACAAAAATGTTGAACGGATAATACAGAAAGTTTCCATATCCCAACCCTCCAGTTTCCCCAATTAAAAACAACTGACATGAGTGTAGTGCATTTCTTTAAATGAATGAAACAACATTGATACTTTTATTAACTGAAAGTCCACAGTTTACATTAAAATTCTTTTTGTGCTTTGACATTCTATGAGTATTGACAAATGTGTAATGTCAAACATCTCCATGTCTGTTTTAGACAAGAATAGAACAAGACATTCTTAGTAATTTACTGTTTTTTCAAGTTATAGTCTATGTGGTGAGATTATTATACGGATTAGTGATGGAGTGGAATTCTTGAGGAGAAACAAAGATTTGAAATAACCATTGTGGGAAGCTAGAAAGGGAAGAGATACAAGGAAAAATATTTTTTTTTTCCTCTCCAACATAAGTAGTAGGTGATTTATTACATGTTGACTTACTGATCTATTTCTTCCTTTATCCTAGGTAAGGTAACAAAACATATAATGGAAAACAAAGAGTTTCGTGACTTCTCCATTATTGCACTTTCCATTGAGGTTGAAAAAAACAAAATGATACTTACTATTTTGTTCAATAATGAGGCATACCATTCAGCTGCAACATCATTGGCAGTGTTAGACAATGTTCTTTTTATGTCACTTTCTGGCCTCAATGCTTCCATCAGTGCCTCCAACAAGCCTCAACCTCTCCCACTTCATGGTCATATCATAATGTATGTAAGATTTTCCTTTTACTGTAATTGATCCTTAATATATCCCTTGCTGTATGGCCATATGCATTTAAAAATAGATATTAAATCATCATTTTCTACTTATATTTCATAATTTCTTTCATTTATTTCATCCTCTGTAGACCTACAAATGGATTACAAATAGTAGTATGTTTGGCTTTTGGCATGGCTGTTGTGGTTGGTAACTTTGGCCTTCAGACAGTGATGGAGAGAACCACTAGAGCAAAACACATCCAGTTTGTGAGTGGGGTATCTGTACTTACTTATTGGCTCTCTGCTTTTCTGTGGGATCTCATCTGCTTCTGCATTCTCTGCTGCTTACTACTGGTGAGTATTACTGATGTTGCATGAAGGCTTATTGTCCTATGTCAACCTAGGAAATTCCTATTCAATAATTTGTATCCTAAAATAAAACTTGTAAAGAAATTTGAAACTACTTTGGCTTATTATACCAGAGAATATATTGTGGAAACCTCATTATGGAAATGTTCTCCTTCATATTTTTTTTAACTGGAGAAAACACATTTCTCTGAAAAGTCTCTCTTGAATTATCTTCCCATGTAACTGTTCAGCATGTCCCAGCCTTGTCCCAAAACCCAAGCTGGCTGGGTCTGCAAAACAGAGCTAGTTTTTACTCAGAGATCCAATTTTAGATCCTGAGGATATGCTATAAAGAGCAAGCAAGGATGGTATAACCTCTTTTAATGTAATGATTTTGCTCATTGGTGAACTTTGCAACTTCTTTTGTTTTGATGCATATTTGAGGGTGAGGGAGAGAGAAAGCTATATAGTTTCAAGGGGGTGAACACATGAATAAAAGAGGTAAATTTCTGGGGCACCTGGGTAGACCCATCAGTTAAGCATCTGCCTTCAGCTCAGATCATGGTCTCTGGATCTTGGGATGGAGCCCTGACTCCAGCTCCCTGCTCAGTGGGGAACCTGCTTCTCCCTCTCCCTCTGCCCCTCCACACCCCCACTCTTGCTCATGTGTACTCTCTCTCATATAAATAGTCTTTTAAAAAAACAGATAAAGTTTCTTTATGTAAAAGAGGTACTGGGGAAGAAATAGTTTACTTCAGGCTCATAAGCTAAGGCTATTCTTTTTTTAATGGGTTAAGTGATTGAAGTAATGAATAGTTCTTATCTTCTAATGAAGGCAGGGCTTGCTGTTTTTTTCTAGGTTTTCTGGCTTGACTTATTGCACACTGTCCTTCACCTTGCACTTAACTCTGCACTCTGTGTCTCAGGGAGTGTTCAAATACTGCGGATTGGATGCATTTGTTGCAAATTACAACTTTCTGGACACAATGATGATCTTTATGCTGTATGGTTGGTCTGTTGTACCTCTCATGTATCTTGGAAGCTTCCTGTTTTCTAGTAGTACTGCTGCCTACATCAAGCTCACCCTCTTTAACTACTTTTCAACTATTTTCAGTATCAGCATTTATGTCATAAGACAACAATATGGTAAGGACTTTACAAAATTTTCCCTTTCTTCAAGAAATGCATTAAATAAATCAGGATGAAAGAGCTTGAGGATAAAAATATTAATTGCTAAACACTTTCCAGGAATCTAAAAATCTGTGCTTTTGGAAATTTGGGTATGTGAGAGATAGAGTTTGAATGAGAGAAAGAGGGAGAGAAGAAATGGGGAAGAGGGAGAGAAGAAATGGGGAAGAGAAAGGAAGAAAGAAAAAGAGATAATTTAAGTCTTTAAGGGATCTGGACTCAATATCACTCTAGCCTCATGAAAGAAAGAAAAGAGAAAGAGGTTGCAAGTATGCTGATCCCACCCAGCCCTACCTCCACTTAGAACATGTTTCTTCAGTTTTTATCATCATTAGTACTTCAGAGCAAGGTGTGGAGATGAGAATGGAAGATTTTCTGGTATGACTCTTCCCTAATTTAATGAAGCACAAAATCTTGACCCTCCTAAGGAGAATTTTCTTCAGAAGGAAATAATAAATTATGCAACGAATGTAGTCCTCATTAAACCAGTTTATTCCTTTAAGGCCTGAGAGGAATTTCCCATATTCCTTCTCTGATTATGAAATTTAAAGAAAGGCAGACTCCACTGGAGATTATCAGAAATAGGATTTGTTTGTTTTTAGAAGATTCTCTTTCTAATTTCTTGTAAACAGGAATTTTAAACTGTATTCATTCATTCAACCCTGCCTTAAGTGGCAGAACCCCACCAAAAGAGGCTTTCAGACTCATTCCCTAATTTTATGCCGTAGCCTTCCACAAAATGAAATTTAGTGAATGAACCAGAAATAGCTTTTTTATTCTTTTGCACAGCTCTCCAAAGAGTAGTAGTATTCCATATGGGGAAGACTTGAGCTCATTCTCTGAAATAGTACTATTGTCAATCACTTTTATACTACCTATAGATTCTACCAGTAGTCTGCCCTATTAAAAGATCTTTTACCCATTCTGTCTTGCATGAATTTCATTTCTAAATGTTTCCTCTACTAATAACTTAAACCTTTGGACTCTTGCACCAAGATCAACTTGAAATTTTCCCTGACACCAGGTGGAACTGAAGGCTATTTCTCCTAGCAGGTTGTCTACCTACCTCCCCTTCCACAAACCCTCAATGTGTTTTCCAGAGTTGAGAGTCTCTCTGGTTTGTCTCCCTCTCTGATTTCTTCCCATTCAGTTTTTCCTCCCTTTCCATTTGGTCCTCTGCCCAATTTCTTATATTCCACATATAAGTAAAACCACATGATAATTGTCATTCTCTGATTGACTTATTTCACTTAGCACAATACCCTCCAGTTCTATCCATGTCGAAGTAAATGGTAGGTATTCATCCTTTCTGTTGGCTGAGTAATATTCCATTGTATATATAAGCCACATCTTCTTTATCCATTCATCCATTGAAGGACATCTTGGCTCCTTCCACACTTTGTCTATTGTGGACATTGGTGCTATGAACATTAGGATGCAGGTGCCCCTTCATTTCACTACATCTGTATCTATGGGATAAATACCCAGGGTACAATTGGTGGGTCATAAACTCTATTTTTAAATTCTGGAGGAACGTCCATACTGTTCTCTAGTGTGGCTGTACTGGATTGCATTCCCCCTTTTGCCACATCCTCACCAACATTTGCTGTTCTCTGTGTTATTAATTTTAGCCATTCTAACTGATGTAAGGTGATATCTCATTGTGGATTTGATTTGTATTTCCCTGATGACAAGTGATGTGGAGCATTTTTTCATGTGTCTGTTGGCCATTTGTATGTCTTTGGAGAAATGTCTGTTCATATCTTCTGCCTATTCCTTGACTGGATTATTTGTTTTTTGGGTGTTGAGTTTGAGAAGTTCTTTATAGATTTTGGATACAAACCCTTTATCTGCAATGTCATTTGCAAATATCTTCTCCCATTCATGGGTTGCCTTTTAGCTTTGTTCACTGTTTCCTTGTTGTGCAGAAGTTTTTATCTTGATGAGGTCCAAATAGTTCCGTTTTGCTTTTGCTTCATTTGTCTTTGGAGGCGAGTCTTGAAAGAAGTTGCTGCAGCCAAGTTAGAAGACATTGCTGCCTGTGTCTTCCTCTAGGATTTTGATAGATTCCTGTCTCACATTGAGGTCTTTCATTCATTTAGAGTTTATCTCTGTTTATGGTGTAAGAAAATAGTCCAGCTTCATTCTTCTATATATAGCTGTCTAATTTCCCCCAGCACCATTTATTGAAGAGACTGTCTTTTTTCCATCAGATAGTCTTTCCTGCTTTGTCAAGGATTAGTTGATCATAGAGTTGAGGGTCCATTTCTGGGCTCTCTGTTCTGTTCCATTGATTATGTGTCTGTTTTTGTGCCAATACAAGGCTATCTTGATGATCACAACTTTGTAATAAGCTTGAAGTCAGGGATTGTGATGCCCCCAGTTTTGGTTTTCTTTTCAACATTCCCTTGGCAGTTCAGGGTCTTTTTCTGTTTCCCTACAAATTTTAGGATTGTTTGTTCCAGCTCTGTGAAAAATGTCAATGGTATTTTGATAGGGATGGCATTGAAAGTGTAGGTTGCTCTAGGAAGCATAGACATTTTCACAATGTTTATTATTCCAATTCATGAACATGGAATGTTTTTCCATCTTTTTGTGTCTTCCTCAATTTCTTTCATAAATGTTCTGTAGTTTTTAGAGTATAGATCCTTTACCTCTTTGGTTAGGTTTATTCCTAGGTATCTTATAGACTTTGGTGCTATTATAAATGGAGTTGATTCCTTAATTTCCCTTTCTGCAGTTAAATTGTTAGTGCATAGAAATGCAGCTGATTTCTGTGCATTGATTTTGTATCCTGCCACCTTGCTGAGTTGCTGTTTGTGTTCTACCAAATTTTTAGTGGTGTCTTTTGGGTTTTCCACATGGAATATCATGTCATCTGTGAAGAATGAGTTTTACTTCCTCTTTGCCAATTTGAATGCCTTTTATTTCTTTTTGTTGTCTGGTTGCTGAAGCTAGGATTTCCGATACTATGTTGTGATACAGTGGTGAGAGTGGGCATCCCTGTCATGTTCCTGACCTTAAGAGAAAAGCTCTCAGTTTTTTCCCATTGAGAATGATATTCACTGTGGGCTTTTCATAGACACTTTTTATGATATTGAGGTATGTTCCCTCTATCTCTAGACTTTGAAGAGTTTTAATCAAGAAAGGATGGTGTATTTTGTCAAATGATTTTTCTGCATCAATTGAGAAGATCATGTGGTTCTTGTCTTTTCTTTTATTAATGTGCTCCAGCATGTCGATTGATTTGCAAATGTTGCACCACCTTTGCATCCCAGGAATAAATGCCACTTGGTCATGGTGAATAATCTTTTTACTATTTTTCTTAACTTAAAAAAAAATAATCCTTATAATGTAGTGTCAGATCCTATTGGCTCTTATCTTGGTGAGAATTTTGACATCCATTTTCACCAGGGTTATTGGTCTGTAATTCTCCTTTTGGATGGGATTTTTTTCTGGTTTGGGATCAAGGTAATGCTGGCCTCATAAAAAGAGTTTGGAAGTTTTCTATTTTTTTTAATAGAAAATCCATTTCTATTTTTTGAAACAGCTTCAGTAGAATAGGTATTATTTATTCTTTAAATGGTAGAATTTCCCTGGGAAGCAATCTGGCACTGGACTCTTGTTTTTTGGGAGGTTTTTGATTACTGATTCAATTTCCTTGCTGGTTATTGGTCTGTTCAGATTCTCTATTTCTTCCAGTTTCAGTTGGCAGTTTATAAATTTCTAGAAGTGCATCCATTTCTTCCAGATTACCTAATTTTTTGGCATATAGTTGCTCATAATATATTCTTAAAATTGTTGGCATTTCTTTGATGTTGGTCATGATCCCTCCCCTTTCATTTATGATTTTATTAATTTGAGTCCTTTCTCTTTTCTTTTGGATAAATTTGACTACAGGTTTATTGATCTTATTAATTCTTTGAAAGAACCACCTTCTAGTTTTGTTTATCTATTCTGTTCTTCTGGTTTCTATTTCATTGATTTCTGCTCTAAACTTTATCATTTCTTTTCTCCTGTTTGGTTTAGGTCTTATTTGTTGTTCTTTCTCCAGCTCCTTTAGGTGTAAAGTTAGCTTGTGTATTGGGGATTTTTCTAATTTTTTGAGAGGCTTGTATAACAATGTATTTCCCTCTTAGGACCGCCTTTGCTGTATCCAAAAGGTTTTGAACAGATGTATTTTCATTCTCATTAGTTTCCATGAATTTTTAAAATTCTTCTTTAATTTCCTGGTTGGCCCATTCATTCTTTAGTATGATGCTCTTTAGCCTTTATGTATTTGAGTTCTTTCCAAATTTCCTCTTGTGATTCAGCTCCAGTTTCAAAGAATTGTGGTCTGAAAATATTCAGATAATAATCCCATTCTTTTGGTATCAGTTAAAACCTGATTTGTAACCCAGTATGTGATCTATTCTGGAGAAAGTTCCATGTGCACCCAAAGAGTGAATATTCTGTTGTTTTAGGATGGAATGTTTGTATATATCTGTGAAATCCACCTGGGTCAGTGCGTCATTCAAAGTGCTTGTTTCTTTCTTGATCTGCTTAGAAGATCTGTCAGTTCCTCTGAGTGTGATGATGAAGTCCCCTACTATTAATGTATTATTATCAATGTGTTTCTTTACTTTGGATATTAATTGGTTTATATAGTTGGCTGCTCCCAAGTTGAGGGCACAAATATTTACAATTGTTAGATCTTCTTCCAGGGGATGGCTGAGTGTCACCCTACTGTCCTTTCCTGGGCAACTGCCCTGAGAGATGTTGCCTGGTCATGGGTGCACCCATTTTCACCCCCCACCCCCCATGAGATGGCAGATGGTCTGCACATTCCATTCCTTTTCAGGGTCCTCAGGCAGAAAGCAGTCACCCAATAGGTCTGGCTTGTGGTATATGGCGACCAAAGCTGAGACCCCCCTCCTGGGCTCACTGACCATAACCAGTCTCCTAGTTCCACTGCTTGAGCACTCTGTTGGCTCAGGCTCCCCTGTTAGTTCTGTCACTCCTGGAATCCTGAGACCACATGAACCTACCTAAAATTCTGCCCTTTTCATCTCCTGAGCCCCCTTCAGGCAGGGATGTCTCTCACTAGAGCAGATTTCTAAGGGTTCTGATTTTGCCCTTTGGGGCTTTATCACTTTCTGGTAGCCAACTTATGGAGGCTCCCTCCCCCCTCCATTTATCTTGCAATATCTACCCTCAGATTCATGTATCTGCACCTCCTACCTTGCAAAAAGCAAACACTTTTCTACTCATAGAGTTCCAAATATATTTTCATGTATCTCAGGTTGAATTCATGGGTGTTCAGAATGGTTTGATAATTATCCCACCAAGATGAAATGAGGTCCCCTACACTTCTACCATCTTGCATCCTCCTAAAAAAAATAAAATCTTTAAAAAAAATAAAATTTGTCTGCAAGAGATACTGAGCTTAGAAAACAATTCCATTCCCATAGTTGAAAAAAAAAATCTGATTACCATTCTATCCTTGTTGTTTGTTGTGGTAATGTTTCCTATCTTCTTTCTAATAGTTAAGTTCTCCCATCAGTCTTCTCCTTTCTAGGATCCCATTATTCCCACTGATATCAAGGAAAACAAATTCCATTGCAACATACATTACCATCATCTTCACCTTATAGAAGACAATCAACACAGAGCTCTTCAATAATATTTATTTTTACCTTTTACTGAAGTATAGCTTGCATAAAGTGCAGAGACCATAAATGCACAGCTTGAAATTTTTTCACAAAGTGGGCATAGTAGTGAAACACCCCTCTTCCCAGCCAGCATTTCCCATGGGTCTAGACCAATCAGAAGCCAGGAAGCAAAGAAGTCCCTTGACTTAGTTTACACAGATAATCTTCCCAGGACAGAAAATGTAATGGAGAAGGGTAGAGTACTGGTTTGAAGGGACAAACAGAAGAAATGTGACACAGAGACTATTGGATTTGGCAATGAGAAATTCAGTGTAGACTTCTATGTTCAGAAGGATGAAGGAATGAAAACTGTGAATTGCCCTCACACTTAAAACACAATATACATTGAATTAAAAATTGTTGGGGTTTTTATTGGCAAGCATTTCTATCTTTTTGTTTCAGTTGTAGAATTTAGTGATGAGTCACTTTCATACAAAAACCAGTGCCCTCCTTAATACCCATCACCCATTTAGCCCATACTCCCGGCCCACCCCCCCTCCAACAGCCCTCAGTGTGTTCTATATAGTTAAGAGTCTGTGTTATGGTTTGCATCTCTCTTTTCCCCCCATGTTCATCTGTTTCATTTCTTAAATTCTTTCTTAAATTCCACACAAGTAAAATCACATGGTGTTTATCTTTCTCTGACTTATTCACTTAGCATAATACTCTGTAGCTCCATCCAAGTTGTTGCAAATGCTAAGATTTCATTCTTTTTTGATTGCTGTTGCTAGGACTTCTAATACTATGTTGAACAAGAGTGGTGAGAGTGGGCATCCTTGTCCTGTTCCTGATCTCAACGGGAAGGCTGTGAGCTTTTCCCCTTTGAGGATGATATTTGCTGTGGGTTTTTCATAGATAGATTTTATGAAGTTCAAGAATGTTCCCTCTATCCCTATACTTTGAAGTGTTTTAATCAGGAACGGATGCTGGATTTTGTCAAATGCTTTTTCTGCATCAATTGAGAGGACCATGTGGTTCTTATCTCTTCTTTTATTGATTTGTTCTATCACATTGATTTATTTGCGAATGTTGAACCATCCTTGTAACCAGGGATGAATCCCACCTGGTCATGGTGGATAATCTTTTTAATGTGCTATTGGATCCTATTTGCTAGGATCTTGTTGAGAATCTTAGCATCCATATTCATCAGTGGTATTGGTCTGAAATTCTCCTTTTTGGTGGGGTCTTTGCCTGGTTTGGGGATCAGGGTAATGCTGGCTTCATAAAAAGAGTCTGGAAGTTTTCCTTCTGCTTCAATTTTTTGAACCAGCTTCAGGAGAATAGGTATTATTTCTTCTTTGAAAGTTTGGTAGAATTCCCCAGGGAATCCGTCAGGTCCCAGGCTCTTGTGTTTTGGGAGGTTTTTGATCACTGCTTCAATCTCGTTACTAGATATCAGTCTATTCAGGTTGTCAATTTATTCCTGGTTCAATTTTGGGAGTTTATGGTTTTCCAAGAATGCATCCATTTCATCTAGGTTGCTTAATTTATTGGCATATAACTGTTGATAATAATTTCTGATGATTGTTTCTATTTCCTTGGTGTTAGTTTTGATCTCTCCCTTTTCATTCATAATTTTATTAATTTGAGCCTTCTCTCTTTTCTTTTGGATTAGTGTGGCCAGTGGTTCATCGATCTTATTGATTCTTTCAAATACCTCACTCATCTAGCAAGAAATTTCAGAATGCAGAAGCCAACAATAAAGTGGGATTCAGAATCCCATGCTTTTCTGTTTTGTAACCTGGATGGGGAACACAGAAGAGTAGAAAGACTTAGAGCCAAGAGATGGGGATTTTAATAGCAGACCCACACATAAAGAGGGAAGAAAACAGATCCTAGGGAAACACCATTAGCAAGTCTCCTCTTGAACTCTGTAACTGACAAATCCAAGCCACAAGCTATCAAGGTGAACAAGTTTGATGACTTAGTAACTAATGTTTTCTCAATGATAATGTATTAGATTGGTAATTCTCTGGTTTACAAAATGAATGGTTTAGTCATCTTGGTAAAGTTTGTTGTAATGGGAAGTTCCTTATTTTCTTATAATTAAAAAGCTAATGGATCATTTTTTAAATCATAGGTCTTGATTTTCCTCACTATGCCACAACCCTCATAGATAGTATCTTAGTGATGCTTCCTAGTTACAACTTTGCAATGTGTATCAGCAAATTCTTTGATGACTATGAGATGAAAAATCTGTGTGCCAGGCAAATTCGAAGTATACTTGTGAAGTGCAATAAAACGTGTGAGTATCTCAGGCTCCGTGGGTCCTTAAAAGTAATCTATTCCTTTCCAGGTGTTCACAATTAACATTATTGTGGAAGATAAACCTGTCCTTCCTCCAATGGAGATAGTCAGGCTTGCTGTTTTGAGTGCTTTTCTGTACCAAAATTATTTTCATAGACTGTGGGGATAAAGAGAAGCCTCAAAATAAAATCTAAGATAAATTTCATGAAGTCACCACCAGATTTAGAATGAGTTACTCCTAGTAACTCACATACTATGTGAAAATAGCTTTACATACATTATTTTAAGCTCTCAGAACACCCTACAAGTTAGCCATTATTATCTCAGTTTTATAAATGAGGAAACTGAACTTGTTACTAAACTAAACATTAAATGAGTTCTCTGGGCCATTTACCTGTGTCACACAGGTAAAGGAAGGTAAATTCATGGCCATATCAAAATCAGGAAAAAATACATTCTACTAAATTATCTAATTTCATGTTTTAAATTGATTTTTTTAAATTGATTTTTAAAATTGAGAAATAGCAAGCATATTTACTCTGAATGTGCATGTATGTATGTGTGTGTGTGTGTGTGATTCATTCTGAAACAAAATAACTTATATGTTGCCACAGAAAGAAAAATGTAATCATATTTGCCTAAATAAGAAATATCAAATGGATTATATTTTCGGGGTGCCTGTGTGGCTCAGTCAGTTAAGTATCTGCTTTTGGCTCAGGTCATGATCCCAGGGTCATGGGATTGAGCCCCACATTGGACTCCCTGCTCAGCGAGGAGTCTGCTTCTCCCTCTTCCCCATGGTCATGCTTTTTCTATCTCTCTCTCAAATAAAAAAAAAAAATCTTAAAAAAAACCCAAATGGATTATATTTTCTTACAATCTCTGAATAAGAAAAACTGTATCACATTTTAGTTTATGTCATATTTTGACCATAAATTCCTCTCTCTGATTTTTAAGAATAACTCTGTTCAGTTATTATTTATATACCAGTCGCCAGTTTTAATTAATTTATTTTACTTATTATTTTTAAAAATCTTATAAAGCTCTACAAACATTACCACAAACCAATGTTAGAATATTTCCATATCTGAAAAACATCTCTCAGGCCTGTTTACAGTTAATTTTCATTACCACATACAGTCCAGACATCCTCTGCCTCTATAGGTTTAATATTTCTGGATATTTCATATAAATAGATTCAGTTGCATGTATAAGTAAAAGTGCATATATCCCTTTGAATCAGTATTTTTGTATCCTTGGTTAAACACCTAGTAGTGCAATTGCATTCTATGTAAACTAAATTTAAATTTAAAGAAAAACTTGGGAGGAAAAATCATTCACCACAATCAAATGGGATTTATTCCTTGTTTGCAAGGGTGGTTCAATATTTGTAAATCCATCAACATGATACACCATGTTAATAAAAGAAAGGATAAGAATGTTATGATCATTTCCCTAGATGCAGAAAAAGCATCTGACAAAATACAACATCAATTCTTGATAGAAACCCTTAACAAAGTAGGATTACAGGGAACATAGCTCAACATAATAAAGGCCATATATGGAAAACCCACACCTAATATCATCCTCAATAGGGAAAAACTGAGAACTTTTCCTCTATGGTCAGGAAGAAGACAAGGATTCCACTCTTTTTTTTCTTCCAAGATTTTACTTCAAGTTAGTTAACATATATAGTGTTGGTTTCAGGAGTAGAATTTAGTGATTCATCGCTTACATATAACACCCAGCGCTCATCACAAAACATGCCTTCCTTAAAGACCATCATTTAGTTCATGCTTCCACCCACCTTTCCTCCAGGAACTCTGTTTTCTAATTAAGTCTCTTACTGACTGCCTTCCTCTCTGTTTTTCTTATTTTATTTTTCTTTCCCTTCCCTTATGTTCATGTTTTGTTTCTTACATTCCACATATGAGTGAAACCATGTGGTGTTTGTCTTTGTCTGACTGGCTTATTTCATTTAGCCTGATACACTCTAGTTCCATGCATGTTATTGCAAATGACAAGCTTTCATTCTTTATGATAGCTGAGTAATATTCCATTCTATAGATAGACCACATCTTCGTGTGTGTGTGTGTGTGTGTGTGTGTTTAAGAGACTCACTATAGATTTATCTATTGTGTTATGTTAGTCACCATACAATACATCATTAATTTTTGATGTAGCGTTCCAAGATTTATTAACACCCAGTGCTCCATGCAATACGTGATAAATGGGATTGAGATATACCACATCTTCTGTATCCATTCATCAGTTGGATATTTAAGCTCTTTCCATAGTTTGACTATTGTTGATAGTGCTGCTATAAACATTTGATTGCATGTACCCCTTTGCACCCGTTTTTTGTAAAGGATGTCCACTCTTAGTCAACATAGTACTGGAAGTCCCAGCCACAGCAATCAGACAACAAATAGACATAAAATGCATCCAAACTGGCAAGGAAGAAGTAAAACTTTCACTATTTGCAGATGACATAATATTGTATATAGAAACTCCAAAAGACTACTGAAAAACTACATGAATTCAGAAAAGTTGTGGGATACAAAATCAGTGCACAGAAATCTTTTGCATATATAGACCAATAACGAAGCAACGGAAAGAGAAATTAAGGAATCAATTCCATTTATAATTGCACAAGAAACAATAAGATGCCTAGAAATAAACGTAATCAAAAAGGTGAAAGGCTTGTACTCTGAAATCTATAAAACACCGATGAAAGAAATTGAAGATGACAGAAAGAAATGGAAAGACATTCCATACTCAAGGACTAGAAGAACAAATACTGTTTAAATGTCCATACTACCTAAAGCAATCTCCACATTTAACACAACTCCTATCAAAATAACACCAGCACTTTTCACAAAACTAGAACAAATAATCCTAAAATTTGTATGGAGCCACAAAAGTTCCCAAATAGCCAAAACAACCTTGACATTGTTTTCTTAATTTTATTTTCTGCTACTCACTGCTCGTATATGGAAATCCAAATGATTTTTTGTATGTACTTAAAATACTATGACTTTTTGGTCTTATATCCTGTGCAATGAATTGATTCGTTTATTAGTTTTAATAGTTTCTTATTGATTCCTTAAGAATTTTCCCATATGGAGGGTTATGTTTTTTGTGAATACCCTTACTTCTTCCTTCCAAAATTAAGGTTTCTTTTATTTTTTTCTTTCTTTTTTTATTATTTATGTTAGTTAGCATGCAGTACATCATTAGTTTTTGATGTAGTGTTCCATGATTCATTATTTGCATATAGTGCTCATTACAACCTGTGTCCTCCTTAATACCCATCACCATTCTACCCTATCCCCCTCCCCTCTGAAACCCTCAGATTGTTTCCCGGAGTCCATAGCCTCTCATGGTTCATCTCCCCCCTCTGATTTCCACCCCTTCAGTTTTCTTTTCCTTCCCATAATATCCTCTGTGCTATTCCTCATGTTCTGCATATGAGTGAAACCATATAATTGTCTTTCTCTGCTTGACTTATTTCACTTACCTTAATCCCCTCCAGTTCCACCCATATCTATGTAAATGGTGGGTATTCATCCTTTCTGATGGCTGAGCAGTGTTCCATTGTATATATGTACCCATCTTCTTTATCCATTCATCTGCTGAAGGGCATCTTGGCTCCTTCCACAGTTTGGCTATTGTGGACATGGCTGCTATGAACATTGGGATGCATGTGCCCCTTCTTTTCACTACATCTGTATCTATGGGATAAATACCCAGTAGTGCAATTGCTGGGTCATAGGATAGCTCTATTTTTAAATTTCTGAGGAACTTCCATACTGTTTTCCAAAGTGGCTGTACCAAGCTGCACTCCCACCAACAGTGTAAGGGGGTTCCCCTTTCTCCACATCCTCTCCAACATTTGCTGTTTCCTGTTTTGTTAATTTTTGCCATTCTAACTGGTGCAAAGTGGTATCTTATTGTGGTTTTGATTTGAATTTCCCTGGTGGCTAATGATGGTGAACATTTTTTCATGCGTCTGTTAGTCATTTGTATGTTTTCTTTGGAGAAGTATCTGTTCATGTTGTCTGCCCATTTTTTGGCTGGATTATTTGGTTTTCAGGTGTTGAGTTTGAGAAGTTCTTCATAGATATTGGATACCAGCCCATTTGCAAATATCTTCTCCCATTCTGTGGCTTGCCTCTTAATTTTGTTGACTGTTTCCTTTGATGTGCAGAAGCTCTTTATCTTGATGTGGTCCCAAAAGATCATTTTTGCTTTGTTTTCCTTGCCTTTGGAGACAGGTCTTGAGAGAAGTTGCTTGCCTGATGTTGAAGACATGTTCTCCTCTAGGATTTTGTTGGATTCCTGTCTCACACTGAGGTCTTTCACCCAGTTTGAGTTTATCTTTGTGTATGGTGTAAGAGAATGGTCCAACTTCATTCTTCTGTATATAACTGTCTAATTTTCCCAGCACCATTTACTGAAGAGACTGTCTTTTTCCATTGGATATTTTTTCCTGATTTGTTGAAAATTAGTTGACCATAGAGTTGAGGGCCCATTTCTGGAGACTCTATTCTGTTCCACTGAACTATGTGTCTGTTTTTGTGCTAATACCATGCTGTCTTGGTGATCACAGCTTTGTAATATAGCATGAAATCAGGCAACATGATGTCCCCAGGTTTGTTTCTCTTTTTCAACATTTCCTTGGACATTCAGGGTCTTTTCTATATTTTATTTTACTGACTAGAACTTCCAGTACAGTGTTGAATAGAGGTGATGGAAATAAACATCCTTGCTGTGTTCCCAGTCTTAAGAGGAAAGCAATCCAGTCATTCATCATTAAGTATGATTTTTAGCTGTAGGTTTTCATAGATTCTCTTTATAAGTTTGAGAAGATCCATTCTATTCCTAGTTTATTAAGAGTTTTTGCCTTGAGTGAAAGCAAGTGCTTTTTCTGTGTCTTTGAGATCATTTTAATATAATGTCTTAAGTTAATTGATTTTTCTGATGTTAAACCATATT